ATGTGGCGGTGTTGCAATACCAAGCTCCAAGTCTGGCCGCTGCTTTCTTGGCCTCCATTTTCCAAGGTTCAGCTGAGGATGCACTAGTGCTGGATGTGGCCTGTGGCACAGGACTTGTGGCGCAGGAGGTAACCGAGATCAGAGTCGTGCTTCAGCCAGAGAATTAGGCTGGTCTCCATCAGGTTTTGAAAACTATCATCTTATAATTGTCCCTCTGACGTGATTTGGAAACTCATCATTGAGGGGAGTTCTGTTTTCTTAATGCTGCCCTACAGACAACATGCAGGCCTTCAACCCTGTTTTTGCCTTGTGCCATTGCCATTTGGGGTACCCTATTCATTCGATTTCCCCCCCTTGAAATAAGGTTAATGAGAGGGTTGCTCTCATCAGCACTGTTTGTCAAATGGTGTTTAAGGCTGGTACTATAAGAATTTGTGTGTAAAGCTTTAAGCGGTTTTTACTAATTTGGGGCCCAGCAGAAACCTTGGCCCACAAGCAGGAACACCATTGTTCATTTCTGTAACTGTGAGGGTACGGAGGGAGAGGTAACAATGCATGTTATGATCATTGTGTAAATAATACTTTGATGTAATTTCTGTCATTGGCATGACGACATTATTTTGCTGTCATTGTGGTTTCTAACAGATACTTGGATATGCTGCTGAGGGTGGATGAAGCAGTTCAAAACCTCCAGAGAACATAATGGGAGAAGAATAAACTTTTAAAAAATCTCTTTTGCAGAAGGAATGTGTTTTGCTTTCAAACACTTGGTGCTTTCGGTGTCCCAAGATTTATTTTATTAGAAGATAATTATGACATTACCGGTAATATCAATAGTTGCTTAATAGATAAATATGAAAGAAGTAGGTTTACTTTTTTTTTTTTTTTAATTTGATTTATATGCCGCCCTTCTCCGGAGACTCAGGGCGGCTTACAATGTGCTCAGCAATAGCGTTCATCCTTTTTGTATATTTGTACAAAGTCAGCTTATTGCCCCCACAACTGGGTCCTCAATTTACCTACCTTAGAAAGGATGGAAGGCTGAGTCAAGATTTTTTTGTCAGATTGCATTCTTATTTCCTTGTAGGCACCATCTTAGAAGATGCCTTCCCTCTTGTGTGACACAAATAAAGAAGAGAATGCCTTTTCCAAGACTGTTTCAGATACCTTGGTAAATAGTGTTAGTAAATAGTTTTAAAATAATGGGGTGAAACTGAGAGCGCTGTTTTGATTTCATCAGAGCACTCATCTGTTACAAGCTACAAGGACACCAAAATAATGACATGTACACTGTGACATCATCATGCAAATGACTGATTATGTATGCTCATGCACAAAAGCATTTTAAGCATTGCAGAGCAGCCTGATTCCTGGCATAAGAATATGAAGTGACAGTGCCAGGCATAGGCATCCCCAGCTAACTGCTGGGATCGGATCCCAAATTGGGAGCAGCCCAGAGTTAGCTAGAAGATGGGCAGTATAGAAATGTTTCAAATAAAGAAATTAAATTAATGATGAACTGTGTCATGATGTCATGATGCCATTTTGCCTTTCCTTATAGGTAATAAGGCATTGCATCCAATTACATAAGGATCATCATCATCCACATTTCATCACTTGCGTGCACCCCATGAGTGACCATGGCAGCAGGTGTGACTCTACCCCTGAAGGTCCCCCTACTGATTCTGTCTTGGCCAGACCCCATTTGGCTTGCAGCATTCATTTAACTGTTGGCAGACAGGGACTGACTCTTTTTCTGGCTGGGCTCCTGTGACTTAACCCTTTGTGTTCTAAGCTTCAGGCAAAAGGTTTTCGCCATCTCCATGGCCTGGATGGCAGCCGGGAGATGTTGGAACATGCACGGCGCAAAGGACTGTATGAGGATTTGAAGTTTTGCTTGCTGGGCCAGGAAACCTTACCATCTCCTGAAGGTAACAATGGGAACAGTTATCCTTAGCAATGGACTGAATAGATTAGAGAAAGGGAAGAAGTTGGAATGTGCTGGCATGCATGAGATTTCTAGAGAACGATGCCCATCTCCTTCCTTGATGCTACCTGTTACTCCTTCATCTTCTCTGCAGGTTGCTACGATGCTACTGTAATTGTGGGTGCGCTCAGTGAGGGACAAGTGCCCTCTGGTGTCATTCCCCAGCTGCTTCTGGTCACCAAACCAGGTAAGCTTTTGCAAAAGAGACTCGGATGTAGTTTCAGAGGACTTATAACATGGGTGAGCAACTTTTTCCAGTGTCTGATCACCACGTAATATTGCGCCGATGGATGAAAATGAAACATTATTCACATTGTCTGAAATTGCCAAATTTCGTAACATTTAACCTATTCCCCTGTGACAATATCAAGCATTACTGAGATCTGGCCTTTAAAAATAGTTAATTAGTTCATTAATTTTAAACTAATTTTAAGAGGGACGCAGTGGCTCAGTGGCTAAGACGCTGAGCTTGTCGATCGAAAGGTCGGCAATTCAGCAGTTCGAATCCCTAGTGCCGCATAACTAAGGGGTTTTAAATTGGGGAAACCAAAGATAAATTTAATTTCATTTTAATGTATTTTAATATTTGTATTGTGTGTTTTTAATTTTGGCTGTTCACCGCCCCGAGTCCTTCGGGAGAGGGGGCGGTATAAAAATTAATTAATTAAATAAATAAATAAATAAATAAACAAACAAACAAACAAACTGGGTGAGCTCCCGTTACTTCTACCCAGCTTCTGCCAACCTAGCAGTTCGATAATAATTAATAATAATATGTTAATAATGATAATATGCTAATAATAATAATTTAATAAATTATTAAATAATAAATTAAGTTAATAATAGAACTAATTTTAGCATTCTATAATTATGGTTGGTTGGAGAATTCTGGGTGTTGAAGGCCACACCTCTTAAAGTTCCCAAGATTTGGGAATTCTGGGCGTTGAAGTCTACGCATTGGTTAAAGTTGCTAAGTTTGAAAAACCAGTTGTTAACCAGTTGTTAATCTAGGCTTATGGCAGGCAAGGTGCGATAAACAGTCATAAGGCAGGGAAGGTCAGTGGGCCTGAGCACTGACTAGCATTGTGCAACTGTTCCATCTTACTTTCCTTAATAGATTTGTTCTGGAAAGGAAAAAAAATGGTGGGGGAAAAATATAAGAAGATTATATCATATTTTCTGCATTCCACATAAAATTTTGTGGATTAGACAAGGTAATTGAACACTAAACGCCCTGTCAGGAAATACCATCTCAATTGCCCTGAGGGACATCAAGGAGCTGGAAATGTCAGATTCGTTAGATTGAACCCCAATTCCCTCTAGCCATTGATGGAGAGAAGGACCCCCCCCCCCCAAGTGGGTCCTTTTGTGCTATGCTTCAGCTCTCAGCTGATCAGAATCGACTCAAAATGCTGAAGTCTGCCAAATGCTTTAGAATAGATCAATCCAGGCTTTTATTAAAAATCCCATACAGTAGTTTTAAGAAGGAAGCCTGAAATCGATGCAAGCAGAAATGAGAGCAGGCTGATTATAGCCAGCATCATTGAAAATACTGTCTGAAGCATCATGAATGAAGCAAATACTTCCCCTCCAATCTTCCAAAGAAAATTCAGTCCCATGAATGGAGACAGGAGTAAGATTTTATTTTACAATACATATTATGGACAAAATTATCCTAACCAGATGTTCTAATGAGGGCAGAATCGTTCTTATCAAAGGTAACAACAACCCTTGACTCAGACCAAAGTTTTATGGGTAACAAGGAAAGTGCTATGTTTACCCCTTTCTTTGTCAAGAACATATCAAAATATGCAATTAGGTCATGGGTCAAGCAGATACGATTGTCTGTAATCAGTGGCACTTTAACTGAATTTTTCATTGCTGAAACTAGAAGGAATGGGATGTTCTCACATTGTAACAGTCTCCAATCGGAAGTTATTGTACATATAATGTTGCTTAATGCTTTATGAGACCTTAAGAGAACAAATGGATTTATGACACTTTAGAGACTAGAAGCATTGTTGGTGAATATTTGCTTCGTCAGGTATTAGACTGAGAACATAAGATTAATATCTGGAGGTGGAAAGGACCATAGCTTGTGGTTCAGGAATTAGATCCAAATCTAGGAGGCTGCTGTCAGTTATGGCAGTTAATAATTCTAAGCTGGTTCCGGGACTGCCTCTTTGCCTCAGCCTGCTGAACAAGTGTCTCTTCGAATTGGAGAAGGCCATGTTGCGTCTTTAGCCTCCAAGGTGAATGATCGGAGGTCAAGGTTTCCCAGTTGTTAATGTCCATTCCCAAAGCCTTTAGATCCCCTCTTACAGACATCCTTATATCGCAGCTGTGGTCTCCCTCTGAGGCACTTTCCCTGCACTAATTCTCCATACAGGAGAACTTTCGAAATGTGGGGGCTGACATTCTGTCCCCTGCCTTCAGTGTGGAAGGGATTGTCCCTCTCGAATTGCTCTTTTTAGTCACACTAGATACTGTTTTAGGACCTCTTTCCAGAACACGATACCAGTGGTGGGATTCAGCCAGTTTGCACCACTTCGGGAGAACCAGTTGTTAACTTTCTGAGCAGTTTGGTGAACTGGTTGTTGGAAGAAATCATTAGGGCAGAGAACCGGTTGTTAAATTATTTGAATCCTACCACTGCATGATACCATAGTCTTTTGAGACTGAAGGACACCAATGAATTCTAAGCTAGATGATCTGATTTAGCGTGAGACCGTTCTGAGTTTTTACATACAATAATTGAATCCCCTTTGGCATCTGGGGAACTAAAATGAGCAAGACGGGGACTACAGTGTTGGATCCCAACTTCTACTCCTTTTATACAGTATAACAAAGGTGGGGCTTGGATTTCAAAGCTACACCAGTCCTCTTGCTTTTTAGACCCACCAAATTGACGCTGATTCATTCCCCAAAGATTATGGTGCTTGGATTTGTGATGCTTTTCATTAGAACTGGGCCAGTGCAGGTTAAGAGGGATGCATGGTTTATTTCAGGGGTGTTAAACTTGCGGCCCGTGGGCCGGATGCATCATGCGCTGGCCACGCCCAGCCCATTTTAGCAAAGGGGGGGAAGTCGCAATACGTCATGTGACGACACGAGTTTTACACCCCTGGTTTATTTAAATGTGCCGTAGCTTGAGCTTCGTCCAAGGCACCTGAACATCATCTCCAGAAATTGTATATGCAACAGGATCGCAGGCTGATCTTGTGAAACTGGGTAATGATTGAAACAAGAAAGAGAAAGGACTGTCATACAACATGCAATTAATTTCTGAAATGCCCTGTTGCAAGATGCAATGATAGTTGTGTATCTTTTTAAAAAGAGGTCAGACAAAATACATGGAGTGGAGATGGGAAAGAGATGGAACGGGGATTACTAAATGGATCCACACACACATTCAGAGGCAGTTAACCTTTCAATAGCTGATAACCAAGCCTAAGAGAAACCTTTGGGGTTTTTAAATGCCTTGAGGGTTTCCCAAAGGGACTAAATCGGCCCCTTTTGGACACAGGATGTTGGACTGGCTTAGATGAACAACTCATAACCACTAGATGGTGCTGCTATCTTGCCAACACCTCATAACAAACAGACCATGGAGCAGAAATGTACACTTTCGTGGGTGTTGCAGGGCTGAAAGACAGAAATGCCATTTAAAATGTGTTTTGATAGGAACCTTGCAGAACCATATAGGTTGAATTGTCTCCTTTCTTCAGATTGCCTATATTTGCGCTTATGTGAGTATCTGGAATCAGACACGTTCTTTCTCAGGAATTTTATTTTAGTCATCGCTTGCCTCCTCTTCCTCCTTTTGATCTCCTTACATGCATTTGGCAATGGTTTTATTTGCTATTTAATTTCTCTTCCCTGTATGAAGATGCGATGAACAAACTTTGCCAGTTTCTTCACCGCAAATTTGCTTTTTGGTCACCTCCGCCCTCTAAGTTACTAGGTGATCAGGGTGAAGTTCACACATCATACTCAACCCTAAACCTGGATTAACAATGCTAAATCCTGTATCCAGAGAATACAGGTAGTCCTCAATTTACAACAGTTTATTTAGCAACTGTTTGAGCTTTCAACGGCACTGAAAAAACTGATGTATGACCATTTTTCACACTTACATACGTGGCAGCATCCCCATGGTCATGCGATCAAAATTCAGATACTTGGAAGGGACTCGTATTTATGACGGTTGCAATGACCCTGGGTCATGTGATCATCTTTTGCGATGTTCTGATAAGCATTGTCATTGGGGAAGCCAGATTTCACCTAGCAACCATGTTACTGACGTTACAACTGCAGTGACTCGCTTAACAAATGTGGCAAGAAAGGTCATAAAATGGGGCAAAACTCATTTAACCAATGTCTCACTTAGCAACAGAAAATTTTGGGCTCAATTGTAGTCATAAGTCGAGGACTACCTTTATGCTGTTGCCTGCACAAATAAAACCATGCTACAGTTTAATGTAATAGCCTGGCTCCCACAATCTAAGCTATAGCTGTGTTCCACCTTGAATTGCTCAACCGCATTTTATCTTAGTCTAGCATTTATGGGAACGCACCCATTCAGTTTCATCAGGAACAGGGAGATTTACCGTCTTGTCCTTCCCTTTCTCCTACTTTCATTTCATTGTCTGTAAGAGGGAGAATGCTCCTGTATGAGAGCATTAGTGCATCTAAAACAGTTTCATCTCGACAGCTCTCTTAAAAAGGACTCGGTATTGCTAGATTTTCTGCCCCAGAAGGGCATTCTGTGGTTGACCTTTTCTGGGTTTTGAAGTTAAGCAGGTTCAAGCTTTAACCTATAAGGAACAGGTTAAAACAGTCAATATGATAGCCTAAATTATATGCTTACGTTTGCTGTTTTTATTTTATTTTTATTTATTTGCAAATTCCTTCCATATTATGACCTGTCCCAGGAGTCAAACTCAGTGTGAAGGAGATTTTACCTTTATCTTATTTCTAGGATTATCAAGGCTTTCCTAATGATTTTAGATTGAAATGCTGTGATCTTGCACAACAGGTGGCTATGTGTGTCTGACCACACGAAACAACTCAAGCAATTTACGCTACAAGATTGAACTGCAGCAGTTGCTGAATGACCTGGAGAAGCAAGGATTGTGGGAAAAGGTTGGGATGCAGGAAGTTGAAAAATGGGAGAGAGCAACATCACATCAGGAATCCGATCAGGACTCGGATTATATCTCTGGTGTGATCTACATATACCGAAAAAAATAAAAGTCTGGTTTAAACATTCTTCATGTTGGAAGACCTTCTAGGTTGTCTCTGTAGCCCCTCCTGAAAGGCTTAGCTTCAAAACCTGTAGGTTGGGTTTTTTTTTAATGTGAAACAGTAATAAAGTAGGCTGGACCATGGTTTGTTTGCAGAGTATTTTCTCTTTACCACTTAAGGAGCTGCCATAATATTCAATGGGTAGGTTCTGGCACTTCCATAATTTCATGTTTTTGCATAAAAATGTTCTCGGCTTCCCCTCCTCCAACAGTCTTCATTTGTGAAGTCTTCGTGGAGTTTTCACTTCTGAATCAACACTGCTGAATATTTGCAATACAGTGTATATTATAAGAGAGTGTGCTATCCCCCCCCACCCCCCGCCAATCACTCCTGACTCAGGGGACTCTAACCCTCTTGTAAACCCCAGCCAGCACAGCCGTTTTGTTCTACTAGCTGGGAAGTATGGCGCTTATAGCTCATCATTTCTCAAAGGCCCCTGGTAGGAAAAGGCCAGCATGGGGAATATGGCTGCTTGTGGGTTGAACCTTTGCAGATACCTGAAGGTTCATGAAAATTCCTGAGAGGGTGAAGAGAACTTCAAGGAAGAAAGCAGAATCTCCAAATGCCTGCCTTCTCTTCTTTTCACGCCCTCCAAGTCAACGCCTCTCCAGAGATTGGGCTGTATGTGCCAGAGAAAAGCAATGAGAACTGGAGAGTACCAAGGTTCTGAGTAAAATGTTTGTTTATGGCAGAAGATAAGATAAGGCGGGGAGAACAGGGAAGAGACATATTTAAATGTCAGAAATGAGAAATGAGAATTCTCGTAATTTTGAACACAGGTCTTCAATTTATTCATAGGAATCAAATCAGCAGTATGTGCAACACAGATTGCTGTATTCAGGCCTGGGTACAGCACGGAAACGGCATTGGTCGCATTGGTTGATGATCTCTGGAGGGCTCGGGACAGGGGTTGCTCCTCTGTCCTGGTCCTATTAGACCTCTCAGCGGCTTTTGATACCATCGACCATGGTATCATGCTGCACCAGTTGGAAGAGTTAGGGGTGGGGGGCACTGTATTACGGTGGTTCTCCTCCTTTCTCTCCGACCGGGTGCAGTCTGTGTTGGCGGGAGGGCAGAGGTCGACCCTGAGGCCCCTCATATGTGAGGTGCCACAATTGTCGGTCCTCTCGCCCCTTTTGTTCAACATTTATGTAAAGCCGCTGGGCGAGATCATCCGTGGTTTCGGGGTGAAGTACCGCCAGTACGCTGATGACACCCAGCTGTACATCTCCACCCCGGACCACCGCAACGATGCCCGGTATCTGGAGGCCGTGCGGATCTGGATGGGGAGGAACAGGCTCAGGCTCAACCCATCCAAGACTGAGTGGCTGTGGTTTCCGACATCCCAATATAGTCAGTTGACGCCATCGCTGACTATTGGGGGTGAATCGCTGGCCCTCACGGAGAGGGCTCGCAACTTGGGTGTCCTCCTGGATTCACGGCTGTCTTTAGAAGAGCACTTGACGGCCGTGACCGGGAGGATTTTTCATCAGGTTCGCCTGATTCACCAGTTGCGTCCCTTTCTGGATTGGGTCTCCCTACACACAGTCACTCATGCCCTCATCACTTCCCGCCTGGACTACTGTAATGCTCTCTACATGGTGCTCCCCTTGAGGAGCACCCGGAGGCTCCAACTGGCGCAGAGTGCGGCCGTGCGGGTGGTTATGGGAGCAACATGGCGCTCCCTTATGACACCTCTCCTGCGCGAGCTGCACTGGCTCCCGGTGGTCTTCCAGGTGCGCTTCAAGGTTTTGGTCACCACCTTTCGAGCGCTCCATGGCTTAGGACCTGGTTATTTACGGGACCGCCTACTACCACAAACAGCCTCCCACCGGCCGGTACGCTCTCATAGAGAGGGGCTCCTCCGGGTGCCATCAGCCAAACAATGTTAACTGGCGGCCCCCAGGGGGAGAGCCTTCTCTGTGGGGGCACCCACTATCTGGAACGAGCTCCCCCCAGAGATACGGAGGATCCCGGATCTGCGCACTTTCCGCCCTGCTCTTAAGACCCTCCTATTCCAGCAAGCCGGCCTGGCCTAATTTTCTCCCCTGTTTTAAAATTCTTTTAAATCAAAATTTTAATCTGTTTTTAATTATTGGGATTTTTAATTGTCTCGGGCTAAATTATTTAATCTGGTTTTAATTATGTTTCTAACTTTTGTATCTATGTATTTTATTTTGTGCCTGTTCACCGCCCTGAGTCCTTCGGGAGTAGGGCGGTATATAAATTTAATAAAAACAAAAACAAAACAAACAAAACAATACCGATGGCGCTAGAGACAATCAGGTTCCAAAAACAATTTATATTTCTATGGGGCCAAAAATACTAGCGGCAGTGATGGCCAATGCTAGGATGGTTTTAAAGAAGCTTTAGAAGAAGAGGAAATGCATGTGATGAGTAACACCTAGCAATTAAAACTATACGGAATCTCCCTGTTGAGAAATAGTCTGCTTTTTAATGTCATTTGCTGGACTTCCAAGGGAAGAAGATGGCCATCTTTGTGTCACCGCTGGAAGCAGGATGCTGCCTCAGACCTTTTCAGCCTGCTGGGTACTTATATTTACACCTCAACTGGAATGAGTGGTTTGGACACATTCCTTTGAGAGGCGTTCCAGGGGCTATATTCATAGAAGTGGGCGAGGCCAGGACAAAGAAGCACGTAAGGACCGAACAATTTAAATTTAAATGATGTTAAATCAATTAAATGCTGCTACGGTGAATACTCCCCACATAGTTAATAATTTCCATCCTCTGTCTCACTAAAAATTACAATTGCACTGTGGCTCTGAGAGGAGGTTTGGAGACTTTAGGGGACCACACAGGGCTTAGGATGTTTACCTGTAGACTACGCCTTGCAGACTGCCTTGAATGTAATTATTCCCAACTTTGAAAGAGATGCAGTGCTCTGAATGGTTTACCA